TGAAGCCGCTGCAGCGCCTGCGCCACTACCGGCTGCTGCTGCGCCGCCTGTGCGCCTCCGACCGCCAGGACCCCGACCGCGGCGACCAGGACCGCGCCGAGCGCCGCGGTGAGTGCGCGCCCAACACCCCGCCCCCGCGGGCACCCCGGCCTCCGCCCGCGGCGCCCAGGGCAGGGGGCGGTGGTCTGCTTCTGAGCCGCACACCTGGGGGGCCACGTGGCCTGGGGGAAGCTTCTGAGGTCGGTGGGCTTTCTCATTCCCGACTTTGGTGAGAGGGACGAAGGAATAAACCCTGACCCTTGTGACCTCAGATAGGACTGACTTCCAGCTGCAGCACAAACGTAGAGCAGGAAGTCACTGCCTCTCAGGTCTGGTCACCACTGTCTGTCTCTGAACGTACAAGCCGAAGAGCTAGGTAGCCCTTCCTTCCAGCGGGTCTCCCGGTGTCCTGAGAATAGATCAGACACTTTCTGACGTACAGGGAGCAAAACGGGCCGTATGATGTGGACAGCGCCCTTCCTCTGCATCCTAAAAGCAAGTGTTTTGTGTTTGCCAAAAAGGAGAGGACAAAATTGCCCAAAATGTTTCCATGCATTTTAGAGGAAATGTGAAAGAAGAGCAGCACAGGTAAAATGAGGGTGGGCGACGCTGCTTTGCCCGTAACGTCAGTTGTTTATAAAGACTCTGCCCTTTCTCTTTACCGAGCGTGAGCGTTGGCTAGTCAGCAGTTTGGGCTGAACGAGTCCACGTTTCAGGTCATCTGCAGGGACCCACACTTGCTGTCCCTAGCAGTCCTGTAAGGAGTTTGAGTACAATGTTCCTGGAATTAAAACCACCTTTAAATTGTCAGTTCCTGTCACAAACTGGTGGGTGGAGGGTTCGTCCATGCCACCCCCCGCTCACCTGCCCGGGCACCTGTACTGAGGGACCTCTCCACGCAGAAGCCCTCAAGGCCATCACGGAGGTGACCTCCACACTCCAGCACAGCCTCGTCCGGCTGGAGAACCTCCAGAAGCTGATGGAGCTGCAGCGGGACTTGGTCGGCATAGAGAACCTCATTGCTCCCGGCAGGGTGAGTGACTTTGAGAAAGTTCTGTGAACTGGTTACTTCACTGTTTTTAATTGAGATATAATTCAAAATGTGTGACTTGGTGGTTCTCAGTATATTCATGAGGTTGTGCAACCGTCACCACTAATTCCAGAACATTTTCATTCCCCCAAAAGAAACCCCATCGCTGTCGGCAGCCACCCCCCCGCCCCGCTCCCCGGTCCCTGGCAGCTTCTGATCGGCTTTGTGTCTCTGGGCTTCTCTCCGGGCATTTCATACACATGGACTCTCACGGTGTGTGGCCTTTTGTGTCTCACTTCTTTCACTCAGCACAGTGTCTTCAAGCTTCATTCGTGTTGTGTGTTATGTTGGGGCTTCATTCCTTCTTGTGCCTGAATAGTGTTCATTCTCTGGAGACACCGTATTTTGGTTACCTGTTCATCTGCTGATAGACACTTGGGTTGTTTCCACTTTTTGGCCATTGTGAATAGTGCTTCTGTGAACGTCATGTACAAGTCCTTGTGTGAACATGTGTTTTCATTTCTCCTGGGCACAAACGTACATACATAGGAGTGGAATTGCCGGGTCTGTGTTTAACATTTTGAGGAATCGCCAGAGTTGTCCACGGTGGCTGCACCACTTTACGTTCCCACCAGGGGTATAGAATCGTTCCGACTTCTTTTTTTTTTTTTTTTTTTTTTTTTTTTGCGGTACACGGGCCTCTCACTGCCGTGGCCTCTCCCGTTGCGGAGCACAGGCTCCGGACGCACAGGCTTAGCGGCCATGGCTCACGGGCCCAGCCGCTCTGCGGCACGTGGGATCATCCCGGACTGGGGCACGAACCCGTGTCCCCTGCATCGGCAGGCGGACTCTCAACCGCTGCGCCACCAGGGAAGCCCTCCTCCATATTTTGTCTTTGATTCTAGCCATCCTGGTGGTGCACAGTGGCATCTCTTCGTGGTTGTGATTTGCATTTCCCTAGTGACTAACGTCAAGCATCTTTTCATATGTTTATTGGTCATTTCTGTGCCTTCTTTGGAGAAATGCCTATTCAAGTCTTTTGCCCACCTTTTAATTGGGTTGTTTGTGTTTTTACTGTTGCGAGATTCCTTATCTACTCTGGATACCAGACCCTTGCCAGAATATGACTTGCGAATATGTTCTCCCATTTTGTGGGTTATATTTTCACTTTCTTGATGGTATCATTTACAACACTAAAGTTTTTAATTTAGCTGATGTCCAATTTGTCTGTTTTTTCTTTGGTTGCTTGTGCTTTAGGTGTCATAGCTAAGAAACTGTTGCCTAATCCAAGGTATGAAGATTTACCCCTGTGTTTTCATCTAAAAGTTGTTTATGTTTTAGCTCTTACATTTAGAGCTGATCATTTTGAGTTTTGTGTATAGTGTGAGATATGGGTCCAACTTTGCTCTTTTCCAAGTGGATACTATAGTTGTCCCAACACCTTTGCTAAACTGTCGTCACTCCTTTGTCAAAAATCAGTGGGCCACGGAGTGTGAGTTCGTTTTTGAACCTTCAGTTGTATCCATGGGTCTATATGTCTCCCGGACTGCTTACTTTCTGTCACTTAATTCCTTTTGCTTTGGACTCAGTACTGTCAGCAAAAGAAAATTGTTTTAAGGGTTGCACAGGTCCAGTGGTTAAGAATCCGCGCTTCCAATGCAGGGGGCGCAGGTTCGATCCCTGGTCAGGGAACTAAGATCCCGAAAACAAAGGGTTGCACAGGGATGTTCCTGTCTCAGCAAAAATCCTGTTTTGCGTTAACCTTGTTAGAAGAAAGGTACTGCGAGTGTGGGACCATGAGCTCAAAGAAACAAGACTAAGACAGGAAGGTTTTGCCCTCCTGGAGCAGGGCCTTGGCTGGGAGCCAGGACAGCCCCGTTTCCTTTCCCTCCTTGACGGCTCCCAGGAGTGCTGCTGGCTGGGAGCTCCTGGGAGGTGGGAGGGCTCTTGTTACATTGTTGTTTCTCTGAGTGCCCCACGCAGTGACTTATAGATGGTGGCCCTAGGAAACTGTCACCAGAGGGGCAGATAAACAAGAGCAGCCACGTAGAGCAGAGGCAGGGCCGGGCTCCCCGGGGCAGCCTTGCTGCCGTCACCGCTGCTGTTAGTCAGGGTCTCCGAGTCCTGCCTTAACCTCCGGGGTTCCTGGCCTCCCCGAGTGAAAGGCGTGCATCAGTCAGAGACGAGCCCACCCCAGTTGTCTGAGCGCAGGGTCGAAGAGCGGGGCTGTGAACTGAAGGTGGGTGACGAGGCCCCGAGGGTGAGCACTGCCAGGCATCGAGGAGGCGGGGCCTCGGGGAGCGCACCCCCAAGGGCTGGGGTCTCTGGGGAGCGGCGGAGCTGGCCCTGCAACGACGGCAGGAAGACCTGCCAGCTGCGGCCCAGAGAGGGCTGGGGGCCGCCCTCCTCCTCCTGCAGGGCGGTCCCTTGGGTTGGGGCTGGTTTCTCATCTTGCTGTGTCCGTGAAGGTTACTGGATGAGCTCTCTCCTCCCTGTGCCCTTGCTCGGGTCATCTGAGGGCTGTTAAGGCCGGGGTGTTCTCGGGGCACCAGCCCGTGCTGTTTGTCTGAGAGGACAGCAGACGGTGGAAGAGTCCCCAGAAATAGGCCAAAGCGGGCTGTTCGGGGCCCCGGGACAGCGCTTCAGCCAGGGCGCAGGCAGTTAGGGACGTCGGACATCTGTGCCCCGGAGGCAGGTGCGGGGCCTGGCCTGGCGGTGAGGAGCCCCAAGTCCCGGGGGGAGAGGGCTGCCCGGGACACGGGGTGCTTCCGCTGAGCCTCAGCCCATGGGAGGGTCTCACTCTGGGCCGTAGCACCTTCATGGCCTTCGGAATCCTCTGCTCAGGCGCCAGGGCGGCAGATCATCCCCGTGACCCTGGGCGGGAGCCAGGTGTCCTCTCCTGCTCCCAGTCTCAGGCTGCCCCGCCCAGCTCTCCTCGAAGCTGAACTCACGTCATCTCCATGGTGGAGCCTTCCAGAAGCTGCCCCTCAACAATGCCCTCTGCCTTGTGCGCCGGCTGTCAGCACAGCCGGCCTGTGGGAGCTCAGAGACCGGGCACCGAGTTAACTGACACCAAACAGGATGCGGGTGACCGAGGGGAGCAGACGGGAGGGAGGCTGGAGTGGCACGGCGGGTCCTCAGCCATCCATCTGGGCAGAGGGCTCCACGGAAGGGCCCGAGGGGGCCCGCGAGGGGCTCGGAGGAGCGTGGAGGGTGATGTGCCATCTGCCGAGGTGCCCTCGGCCAGCACACGGGGACCCCGACGGTGTCTTGCAGGAGTTTATCCGCGAGGGCTGCCTCCACAAGCTCACCAGGAAGGGCCTGCAGCAGAGGATGTTCTTTCTGGTAGGTGCGACAGGCACGGTCCAGGCGGGTGGCCTCATTGTCAGGAGCCAGGAGAGCGTCGCAGAAACACTCCCGGGCCTGCCACCTTCCTTATTCTGGGTTCTGGGCACCTGTGTGCAGGATGAGCAAAAGCCAGAAGGTAGAAAAATCCACACACCTGCGGCTGCAGGACCGCTCTGCTCGTGCCAGCGTCAGTTCGCAGGGCCTTACGCACGAGCCCAGGGGTCCTCCCAGCGAGTCCCTGCCGCCAGCAGGTCCCCTTTTGTCAGCTCCCTTCCTCGTGCCCAGCTAGTGGATTCAAACCCCAGCCTTCCTGGGTGGGGGTGACTTTCAGGACCAGGCCCCCAGTGCCTCCCGCTGGCCAAGAGGTCTGCTGGCCCATGTGGTTGCTGGTCACCCCTGGTCAAAATGACTGTACGAATGGAACAAAAATCCTTTTTCTGCCAAAAACCTCCAGCAGACTGCGTAAGCACACGGGGCCCTTGGAGCTGAAGTTGGTCTGATTGTTAAGATGTTGAATCCTTGTTACTTGTTTTTAGAATTCATTTATCTAAAGCATCTGGTCCCTCAGTTCTCAGACATGCTGCTGTACACAAGCAGAGGTGCCTCAGGGACCAGCCACTTCCGGATCCGGGGACTCCTTCCACTGCGCAGCATGCTGGTGAGCACCCGGCGCCGGGCGGGTCCGGACCGGGGGTTGGGGGCCGTGCCGCATGGCAGCACCTGCTGGGCTGTTCACGCCTTTTCACCCTGTTATGGCTACTGTTCTTGGTGCTCAAACAGCCCCACCTGCAGCCCCTCCAGGGCCTCTTGACCAAGGCCACCAGCACCTGCAGGACAAGGCCCAGCTCCGCCAGGAACCCACCTACTCCTCCCAGGGAGCCCTGTCCTTTGGTGGGAGACTCCATGAAAAACCCGGCTCGGGCGCCGGGGCCACCGTGCTGCTGGAGGGGTTGGGTGCTGACACAGCTTTGAAAAGAGAAAGCTGGACCCCTAATTCTTACTAGAGTTTTCACTTCCTTGATTTTATACTTTTCTCTTTTATACTGACGATTTTGGTTTCTTTTGGCATCATGATCAGTTATTTCACACACACACACACACACACAGCTTTATAATGGTAAAACAGAGACCACCACCGCTAAAGAGAGGGTGGGCTGCAGGGCAGGACTGGCCCCAGGGAAGCTCCCGGTGACCTCCACTGAGTCGTGCTGTGTCCTCTCGTTTGCCCTTTGACCTCCACCCCGTGAAGAGGCCCAAGCTCTGTCTTCAGAGCTCTTGAGGGCCTGGGCCGCACCTCACGCTCTGTCCACACCACATGCCACCAGGGCGTGTCCACATCCCCACCGTCTCAGTGCCGCGTGGCGTGTTAATGTCGTCTCTGATGAGCGGGAATTCTTCGTCTTAATGTGATGCGGTCTGTCTTCTCCTCTGTGGTCAGTGCCTTCTGTGGCCTTAAAGGTCATGGAGAGACTCCCCCTTGAGTGTAAACCTAGACTCGGCCTGGAACCCATCTTTGGGAACAGCAGAGATAGGAGGCCAAGTTCAGGTTTTTGCTATAAAGATGTGCTGTTTGTCCAAAACATCTTACGCAGTGAGCACCTCTCCCTGCAGCCCTACCAGGCCCCATCCAGGTGTAGGATGGGTGGGGTCCGACCCCTGTCCAGTTCCCACTTCCCAAAGCGTCAGCGCCGTCCTCCGCCCCTTTCTCCTTCGTGGCGTCTGGCCCTTCTCCCCGCCGTCCGCACCCTGGGCACTGCACCGCCTCCCAGAGAGCGTCAGAGCCTCCGCACGTGTCTCTGTAACATGTGTTCAGCTTTTCCAACTCTCAGCAAAAAGGGGTCAGTTTGAATGACCTCACCTGCCATCCCTGGAAGTAGACCCCATCTGTTTTAAAGTATACTTTTAAAAATTATACCTTCAGCATAGAGAGAAACTGAAGGTGTACAGTGAAAAGCACTCATCATTGTACTGCCCAGTAGTAAGTGCTGTCAGCATTTCGCCATCATCTGGGGAACACCCTCCACAAGCTGCGTTGTAATCCGCACTGGTTTTGCTCGCAGTTCATCTCAAACATCCTCCTGTGTCCTCTGCTGCTACCACCGGCTCAGGAGCCATGAGTAGTGGATTGGTGCGCCGAACCCTGGTTTATTTAACCAGCTCCTTGCACTGGACGTTTTGGCTACGTCTAGTTTTTCAGAATTAGAAACAGCACCATTGGATCTTTCTACGCATCCTTAGTTACGGCCTCGAGATAAACCGCCACGCGTGTATGTGAGCCTGGGGCTCCCTGTTCCCGCTGAGTGGCTGTGGGAGCGGCTGACTGGGTGGCCTTCCCTCCAGGCCCATCTGCGCCTGCACCGTCCCAGCCTTGGGCAGCGCTGGCCGTCCACCCCGTCCTCCGTGCCCCAGGGATGGCCAGCAAGGCCGCTTCCTGCGCCCTCTGCTCTCCCCCAGGAGGTACCGGGCGCATCTGTTGCTCTGGCCTGTTAGTGTTGGTGAAGCGTTCCTAAAACCCTTCCAGGTCTCAGGTGCCTTCCAGGTACGTAATTCCCATCACTTTGCCTGGAGTTGAGTGTCACCTCAGAGTTTATAAACTCCCTCCAGATGGGGATCACGTTTTGTCTTGTCCCTAGAATGGCCACGGGCACAGAGGCCCGACGAATATGTGTTGAAGGGGTGAACTTAGACGTTTTTCTGTGGTCGGTCTGTCCATCTTTTCCTAATTTAGGGTTTCTGACCTTGGCACGGGCTCAGAAACTCTTTCCCACACCAAGACTATGTTGGTGTGGGACTTTCTTTCCTGATATGCTTACGGTTTTTTCTTTTTTACCTAATCCGCCTAAAATTTGTTGGTTTTGACGTTTTTAGGTTGGGATGTAACATTTTCTCCTCGTATAGTCGATTTTCCCATTATTTGTTACATTCTCCATTTTCTTACTGATCCCAAAGTCTGCCTTTATCATATAAAAAATTCGTGTCCTTACGCTTGGATTCTTTCTGAAGGTTCTGTCCCATCTCTGTCTGTCCCAACATCAGCCTGCACTCTTCTAATTAGTGGTGGTGTAAGGGTTAGTCACTGTGTGGGTAAGTTCCTTCCCTTATTTGTCCTTTTTAAACAGTTCTTTGCTCTTAAGTATTTATTTAATTTTTCTAAATAAACTTTGGAGTCATTTGGACAGATTCCTTCAAGAAACAACATTGGCGTTTCTGTGGAAATTGCATTAAATTTACATATTGACTTGGAGGGGGCTGCCGACATCTTGATAACCTTCTGCTGCTGGCTGCGCTCATGTTAGTTTCAGACCCTTTTAAGTCCAGCGTGAGGCTCGGTGGTTGGCGTCCCATGTTCTGGGGGCGGTCACCTGTAACTGGCTGGTCCTGGGGACAGCCAGCCAGCCCTCGCTCCTGACTGTGGAGGGAAGGATGGTGACTCCTGGCTTGTGAAAGACACCGTTTCCTTCTGTTTGTATATAAGAGATATTATCAGAAGTAACGTGGGATTTTGGCAAAGGCGTTTCAGCACGTGGAGGGGTGGTCGCTCTTCCCCCTTTGACTTTGTGACGGGGTGGGTTCCATCAGTCACCTTCCTCATTCCTAGAACAGGCTCACTTGGTCAGAGGACAGTTTCTCCTCTAGGCTTTTAGGTCTGATTAAGGAACACTTTGTTCTGGAGTTTTTTCTCTTAATCTCTTATAACTGAGATTAGCCTGAATCTAACTCTGTTAGCTTTTGGTACCACTTTATAAACATGAATTGTCCAACTCCCTTTTCAACTAAAATGCTCAACATTTTTTTTCCCGTGCTTGATTTTCAGCTAATAGTGCTGGACCCACCGGTGAGTAGTTGGGTGCCCATGGCCCTCAGCTTGCCCACCTGGGCAGCAGGCGCCATGGCGCAGGGATCCCTCGTATCTCCTGTAACCCCTCGTAGAGTCGGCGTGGGCTTAGTCGGCACCTGTGTCCTGCCGCAAGCTCGGGTTCTGCCAGCCCCGCTCCGGGTCACACTCTGCCTCCTCTCCCGCCCGCAGGTGGAAGAACGTGAGAACGAGTGGCCTGTCCCGCACTGTTTCACCATCTACGCCGCTCAGAAGACCGTCGTGGTGGCAGCCAGGTACGGGGCTTCTGCCCATGTCGCGCATCGCGGCGGCCCTGGTCCCCTCTGAGCTGTGAGTCGCGGTCACGGGGACACGCGGCCCCTCGAGTGCCGCTTCAAAGCTCCGCAACCGCGGGAGCAGCTTCACTGTCCGTGGGAGCTTGTGACCCTTGAGACCATCCGCAGACACTGGCTGTGACATTGCTGGCTGCTCAAGGGAGGGAGCTCGCGGGTGGGGGGGGGGAGCCCAGCGGGGCGGCCACACCGTGGCCTAGCGTCACGTGCCTCCTGCCCCGGAGCTGGGCAGCAGGAGGCTGGCGGGGCCGTAGCACAGGAGCAAACAGACGCTTTCCCCACTCCCCATGCATTGTCGACAGCAAGGCGACCCGAGCTCCTGGACGCTGTGCCTGGTCCCTCCCCTGTGGGAGCCTGAGTTCCCAGCTTTTTCCAAAGGAGGTGTCGTCCTGCGTCCGGGCGGGTGGCGCCCGGCTCTCAGCTCCCATCCTGCGGGGTCCTGGCTGATGTCAGAGCACAGGGCACTGGACTCCCACCAGGAAACCCTGGCAGCTTAATTTATGATCCAGGACCCAATCTCATGTTTCAGCTTCACAGCCCCAGAGACCTAAAAACCCATTCCAGGAACAAAAAGTACCCTGTAGAGCACCCCCGTTCCAGCGTGACAGATGCAGGCTGGGCCTCCAGCAGCGTCCTGACAAGCTCTCTGGACCCGAAGGACAGGGCACACAAGGGGGAAGCAGGCACCCTGACCTGCCCTCCAGTGGGAGGGGGCACGGCCGGGAGCCCCGGCTGTGGGCCCTACCCAGCAGCTGAGCTTCGGCCCTGCCCCACAGCACCCAGCTGGAGAAAGAAAAGTGGATGAGGGACCTGAACGCTGCCATCGATGCAGCCAAGAGCAGCGCCGACACGGCCCTGGCACCGCTGGGCAGCGTGCTGTGCCCCCTTCCCCACAGTGAGTGCTGGCCGGGCCCCCAGGAGACAAGGAAGCTTTCCCGTGGGTGTCACCCAAGTCACGGGCAGCCCGCTGGGCCCACGTGCTCTCCATCCACGAGGGACGTTTCAGGCGGGCGGGAGCTCTTCTGGCAGGAGCAGCGCGTGGTCTCGCGCCCTGCCTGCTGCTGGCCGGGGGCGGGGGCGGGTCCCGGTCCCGTTTCCTCTGAGCAGGGGCTGACTTCTCCCCCAGGGCCCTCCGACGAGGTCTCTCTGGAGGAGTCGGAAGACGATGCTCGCAGGGCCCGCTGCTCCTCAGGGGGGCCGGGCCAGCACCGGGCCAGCACCACCATGCACGTGTGCTGGGACCGCACCACCAGCATTTCCAGGGCTGACTGCAGCGCAGCCGTCGAGGTGCGGTCACTGGAGACCCTGCTTGTGTGGGCTGATGGGACACCCGGGGTCCACGGTGGCAGGGGAGAGCAGCCCGGGTGGGCGGGGCCGGGAAGGCGCCGTCAGGAGCCCTCTCCGAAGGGCCTGTCGCCCCGGGATCCCGGGATGGCTGCCTCAGTCACCGGGAGCGGCCTCTTTGCGCCCGGGCCACCTCTGCCTCCACTTGTCCTGAGCTTCCGCCGAAGCCGGGGGAGGGACCAGCAGAGCAGGCGAGGAGCGCAGGTGGGTCCTGACACGGTGGGGTTGGGGTGGGGGGGAA